AGGAGACTCAGCCCAAGTGATTCCGTCAGGTAACGAAGGGAAGGGGGAGGAGTCTGTCCGTGACATCACCGGACTCCTCCCTCCTTCCCTTCGTTACCCATCACGGACAACTACATCACCCGACTCCTCCCCCCTTCCCTTCGTTAGCCGACAGAGCCACTCGGGGAAGGGGGGAGGAGTCCGGTGACGTCGATGTCCGTGACGTCACCGGATCTCCGACAGAAGACCCGGAAGGCGGCGGAGAGGTGAGTAACTTTGATCGATCAAAATAATTTTGATCGATCAAAGAAATTAACGATTTATTGACGGCACACCAGAAAATATCTCACGGCACACTAGTGTGCCGCGGCACAGTGGTTGAAAAACGCTGCTCTAAACCTTTGTTGGACCACTTTGATTATGGCGCATTCACCGTGGCATCATTTCAATAAGCTTATGCAATGTCGCAACATTTATTTCCATCTAGAGTTGCATTCATTTTTCACAAAGATCTTGTAGTGATGATGGGAGAGACGAAGCACTGTGCAAAGTGTTCTCCAGCACATGCCAAAGATTCTCAATAGGGGTAGGGTATGGACTCTGTAGTGAAAATGATGTCTCATGCTCCTCTTTCACAAAATGAGCCCGATGCATCCTGGCATTGTCATGAAATATACCCGTGCCATCAGGGAAGAAAAAAGCCACTGGTAGAAAAACGTGGTCATTCAGTATATTCGGGTAGGCAGCGGACCTCATTTTTGGGGACATAACATTGCTGAACCTAGACCTGACCAGCTCTGGCAACTCCAGATCATAACACTGCCCCACAGGCTTTTAACGTTTTGGCCAGGCAGTATATATATTGTGGCAGCAGGCAGGTGGGTATGTCTGTGTTCAGGTGTACTAATAAAGTTTTTTTTTTTTTTTCATCTTCTGCAGACTGCCTGCAGGTTCCCCCCAATTCAAAAAAAAGCCTGAGGTTCCCCCCCAATTCATACCAGACCCTTTAGGTCTGGTAGGAATGTTAGGAGAATGCCAATTCAAAACCAAAGAAAAAAAAAAAAACTTTAAATATTAGTTGACTTGGCCGTCAGCCTATGTGGCAATCTGCCTGTGTGGCAAAACAGCAGCCTATGTGGCATTCCACCTGTGTGGCCAGTGGACGTTTAGGTTAAAATGCAACGAAATTCGTCCAATAACGAATTTCGGGAAATCGGGAATTTCGGATTCGTTTGCATTCGTCTTAGCTGTAATTCGGAATTCGGATGCATCCGAATCTCCGAATTTCCGAAAATTCGTTCAAAACGAATTTCGGAACGAACCGAATCGCACATGTCTAACCTTTACATTCACACTTGCCCAACTACACATTGTTTATACAGTATATATGTTTCATAATAGAAATAAATGGATTATTAAATACTAGACATGTGCACCAGCAAAAAATGTGTTTTAGTTTCGTTTCGATTCGGATCTTGCTTTATTTCGGAATTCGGGTCCGAAAGGCAATTCGGATTCGGACGAAATTCTTTAGCGGAAATCCGTGCGAAAATTCGTTTCGTTCGTTCGTTGCAGCAAAGTGACATTTAAGAGGCAAAATATATATATATATCTCAGTTAAATATTTAAACAGTGTTGTTTCCACTGTCTTGTCATGTGGTAAGGCTGCAAAAAAACAGTGCAAATAGCACAATAGGTTTTGTCATGTTAGAATTTGAACACCTTAAAACATTACCTTTGTGATCCTGTCTATGGCTCCAGTATCACCTAGTTCTTTCTTCAGCTCTTCGTATGATTTGCCACCCTACAAGAAAACAAGGGAATGACAAAAGGTGTTGTCATCTGCTCTTTATTTTAGGTATTTCTATTATTCTAAAATCACACGTGGGACCAAAAAGGGAGAAGAATTCTGCCATGGAATGATCCAATCATAGATGTAAAGACACAACTGCAAGGCTGTAAAGCTTATTTTACAATGAATTAGATTCGTTTTGTCCATGATTCACAATCATGGATCAGTCCTGTACTATAATTAGCCTTTGCAATGTCTAAGTAATGCTTCTCCTCCTGCATGTACTGTATCTGTTCTTCCCAATTTTACTGAAACAGTATTTTTAATGCACCCATTATCGCTCTGCAGTCGACCAATACCTCATCCATAACCCACACTCTTCCCTGCATCCCTGAGAGTTGCTCACATGCCTTCATTACCCTCCCAACAATTTCCTCTTTAAGAGAGTTGTTGCTCTCTTAGTTCTCTGTTCATTCAAAATGGATTTGGAGCTAATGGAATTAGACACCAGTCTAATTCATTCATCATGTACTGTAATGCCTTATTGTTACACAACACGGTGGATCTTCTGTGTCACCAGCAAGTGGCAGAAAGCTCTGGCTAAGGCACAAGCTCCAGCAGTGTCAGATCTTCTCCAGAGTTCTGGTGGTATGAATGTTTCACGGCATACAGAGCGAATGTGCAGCCTTCAGGACTGAACACTTAAACACTGTACTGAGAAAATGGCAGTCCAGCGGAGCAGCCGCCCAGGAGGAGGGTGCCGCCCTAGGCAAACGCCTAGTTTGCCTCGCGGTAATACGCCCCTGAACCTCCAGCCAGCATGTGTTCACTATGTCATAGCTGACATAGTGATCACATGATCAGCAATCAAGCCGATTGGTTCCTGATTGTCAGCCGGGGCCCTGGTTGTTAAACACAACTAGGATTAGAGCCCTCAGCCACATAAGGTGCCTGAAAGGATGGGGGGGAGTTATTCCTGATTACTCGGTACAGGGCCAGTGGTGTATTTAGGTTTCGTGCTGCCCTAGGCAAAACGAAACTTGGCACCCCCCATCTAAATTAGTTCCACCTTTTCCCGGGAAGGACAGGTGCTGCGTATGATTTGTACGCAGCAGCCTGTTCATCCCTATGAGAGGACGCAGCCATACGCTCACCGGATGTCCGTACTTGGACACAGACAGGATGGATATTTATGGGCCAACTCTGAAGGCCGTGACAAACTGCACGCAAAGCCGTGCAGAGCGAAGCAAAGCTGTCCAGCAAGGAGCTTTGCGTGCAGTGTGTGAGCTGAGTGCAGGCACATGATGGACTGCACCTTCAGCCAATCAGCTCGTGCGTAACAACCAGCCAGACATCGCGCTGGTTTATACCAGCGCGAGCCAATTGGCTGAAGATGAAATATTTCATCTCGGCACGCTCAGCTACGTGAGCTCTCTTAAGCTGAGATGCCAAGGAGAAAATTATATGACGCACTGCTCGCGAAGGCCGCGCGCGCTGCTTCGTGTGCAGCGTGTCACAGCCTTAAGCAGTGGGAATGATGCCTTAGTGTTGCAGGAAAGCCGGGGTCTCAAGTGGGCTGTAAAGGATCTCTGGTGGGCACTGCAGCATGTCAGGCTGAGACCATCATAGACCCTGCACATCCCAACATAGACCTTGCACTGCCCATCTGAGTCCCTGCAAACCCCCCCAGAGCCCACCATAGACCTTGCACAGAGACTTTAGGGTGGGCTGTGCAGGATATATGATGGGCTGTGGAGGGTCACTTTCCCTGCACACATGCTGCTCCTCTTACCTGCAGCTCCCCAGCCTGCTTCCATTCTGCATGTTGCTTCCACTTCCTCGTACACCCGGCAGCTCACTGCCAGGCCCCATTAGCAGCCCCCTGATAAGGCAGCCGAGGCTGCTTGATCTTGTGCGCCCGTCCCCAGCTTTCCTCTTTGCAGGGGGGCGAAAAATGCCGCCCCCCTGCAAAGTGCCGCTCCAGGAAAACGCCTTGTTTGCCTCGCGGTAAATACGCCACTGCACAGGGTATGATCTCATGATACACATCTCTCTGCCCAGCTCTTAGCAACCAGGAAAGCTCTGGAGTCCGGCCCAGCTCCTGGCAACCAGTGACATGAGCTGGGCAGAACGCCAGGGGCACAATTTTTTTGTAGATGTGCCTCTGGAAGTGAGCTATGCATTAATAACCTTATGCAGGTATGCTGCACTTTTTTGTTCATAAAATGTAATGTGACATTTGAAATGCTTTCCTATGCATTGTACATTCAATTCTGTAGTGGTGAGAACATTTTTAGGTGTATTATTATATCTTACACTCCATTTGAGTGGGTCCCAGGCAAGAAACCATCCTCTGAAGTTTGGTGGCTCAAATCCCTGCTTGATGATCAGAATGGGTGTTTCTGGGTCTCTGCCACTGGGATGAGTCTTCAGATACTCCAGAGCTGTCGCTGATGCCTCCTTCTTCTCAACATCATTGGCCTCAGAACCAATCCACAGAAATATCTGAAGGGAAACAAGTAAATAATTTATATAGTAGGTTTCTAGCTTTAGAATGCTTTCAAATTAAATTAAATTTGCATAAACATTATGAGATTGATTTACTAAAAGCAAAATGACTGTTCACTTTGCAAGGGAATTTTCCATTAGTGAATGTGGTGAAAATTCACTGAGCAAAGAATACCCAATCACATGCAGGGGGAAAAAACTGAATTTTTGCTTGCATATGATTGGATGATGGAAGTCAGCAGAGCTTTATCCCATTCACTAAGCTAAGGAAAACTTCCCCAGCAAAGGGCAAATTATCTTGCAAAGTGAACAGCCTATTTGCCTTTAGTAAATCAACCCCTATGTCTGCTATGTGCCTGTCCTGACACAACATTGGCAGTCTTCTCTAACCTGATCCCATGTGTCCAGGAGCATGACATCACTTGAGTCTAGATCATCTTGGTTAAAGTCTGTGATTTCAGTGGCGATAAAGCGTCCAGTCTTGTTGGAGCATTCAAAGAGCCGTGGCTGGACATCTCCCACTACCTGCTGAAGCCTGGAAGTAAAATTCAGATATTAAATAGAAATACAATGCCATTCTGTTACTGTCAGGGTGAAACTCAGTCAAACATATTGAGGGAAATGTATCAAAACTGGAGCAGACAAAATCTGGAGCGGCTGTGCATGGCTACCAATCAGCATCACCTTTCATTTTCAAACCTTAACTGAACAAACTGAAAAGAGAAGCTGATTGGTTTCTAAAGGCAACTGCTCCAGTTTTGATAAATTCCCCCCCATTGTTCTTTTAAATGAGTCATCAGATGTTCCTCTTTATATTTCCTTGCTCTCAGTCAGAGCTGTCACGTTCAGTTTCTAGGATCTTGTTCAAAGGAAACACTATGATCCACATTTAATCACAGCACCAGATCTTTCCAATGGGAATTTTTTTCTGACATCGCTCCCTGTCAGAATAAAGAAAAAAAAAAGGAAACAGCAGTGTTTCTCTCCTTGGCGGCCGGGAGCGGGAGACTCCCAGAGCGCCCGGGAGAGTTTGCTGTTTGGAGATCAGTGTCCCTAGTTAGCAGGTAACCAGGGACGCTGATCTCTCTGCAAGTGACCACAGCCAGATCACGGCTGGCTCCGCCCAGCTGTCAGAAGCAGGCTGTCGGCCGGCCGCTCGGCATATGCGTTCGGCTCAACTGAGCTGCTCGGCCACGTTCGGGAGCTGTACGGGCTATTTTGAATGGCCCGTACAGCACCCCTTCGGTTCTACTGAACCAAAGGGGTCCTGGGGCCGAAGCTAGCCGAAGGATCGGCCGAAGCTACAGCTAGATCCTTCGGCAGCTTCGTGAATAGACCCCTAAGTCACACCTGTCCACTCTTCTAGTTTGCAGTCCCACAAGCTTGTTGGACTAAAGCTGGCCATACACCTATAGATTATCTGCAGATTTTCTATGGTCAGATGCAAAAGGTTCAACAGATTCCTCCATCTATGCTAAACTGTGTGGATGGAGAAATCTCGCACTGGGCCAAGCTTCAGTATCCTGCTAGTCGGCCCCATTGGCCGACAAAATACCTGAGCAATCTGATTGGATGCAGGCATTGTTCAGGTGTTTTGAGAGCCAGTGGGGCCGACTAGCAAGATACTGAAGCTTGGCCCAGTGGGAGATTCCTCCATCCACACAGTTTAGGGTAGATGGAGGAATCTGTTGCACTTTTTCCATCTGACCATAGAAAATCTGCAGATAATCTATAGGTGTATGGCCAGCTTTAGAGTAAAGTGCCTGATCTAAATCTAGAAAAGCTCAAGCCGCACCTGTAAGACTAAGGGCAGGAATCTGTACTTTTGTAAACTGTTAAATGTGAGCAACCAGATCAACAAGCTATACCTCTTGTCACTGGCATATGGGGCTTTGCCACCCAGAATCTCCCAAAACTGTACAGTCTCTTGTCCCTCTGCCAGGGTCTCCTCAGCGCCATCAGTCAAAATGGTTGCCAGTTGCTTGGCCATTTCTCTTTCGTCTCCACTTGACCCCTGTAAAATAATTTAGGATGTTTATTTATAATGGTCTTAAATGATTTAGACTTGTCTTAAAGCTAACCGCCAGGCAGATATAAAAACATTATTTAATGCAGTTATTAATTCATTAAAACATAATGAAATGTAAGTATAGTTAAATCTAAGTGCTCTATTTGGGCACGACTTATACCTGAAACATGTTATACCAACTTTGATAGGAATGGCACTCCCAAATATCAAATCATAACTATACAATAATATCCCTTAAAATGGAGATAATCCAGTGCAATTTATACAATAAATCCATTTATAACAAATATGTAAAATCTTTAAGAAATATTGCACAAAAAAAGAAAATATTAAAATACATATTTAAAAACATTAAAACAAACTTGGCTTGGCATTATGATTTAATGAATAAAGGTGACATTTCTGCCCTATAATAAGTATACACTATTTATAATATCCCAAGTTCCACTTGTCACTTTGGGGTTGATTTCTAAAACTTCCACCCAGCCATATGCTGGGCTAATGCCATTCCCACACCATTCCCACCACTAGATGGAAACAAGTAGTATAGGAACTTCTAATGCTCCTCGGTTCCATCTAGTGGTGTGAATGCAGTGCAAATGGCATTAGCCCAGCATATGGCTGGGTGGAAGTTTTAGAAATCAACTTTGTATCCAACATATATTTAGTGGTCCCAGTGGTAACTGCAATATGGCCTTCAAAACATTCAATAAAGTTACTATTTCATTACTGAAAGCATTGCATATCATACTGGATAATTATTTATTAATTATATATTATTTATACATCCATTTAATTCCATGGAATGTCTATATAAGGGGCTAACAGCTGACCATATAAGCATATAAACGGAACAAATGTGGAGACAACAACAAAAGTGTAACATACGGTATGTGACACCTGTGGATGGTCTAAGACTGCACTGCTATTACAACCTATTGAATATAAATAAGTTGAATGGTCACATTTAAGATACTGAATTTATAACATGATCTTAATTCATAAATTAGATTGCTTTATTTAATCAATTCAATGGGCTAATGTATTCAGTATGCTGGAGGAAAAAAAACTTTAATATACAAAATCATAATACAAAACTGTAAATGTGTGTGTGTTATTTCTTTTTTTGTACAATATTCAATAAAGATTTTTTTTATATTTGTTTGTAATTGATATATAGTGTAATTTACCTTTGATTGGATCATCTCCATTTTGAGGGATTTTATTATATAGTACCTAAATGTGACATGATATTAGGCCCCTGTAATACCCTGTACTGCAGTGTGTTGATAGAGGGGTGAACTATTGCTGCTCTTTTAGGCCCCATTCACATGTGGACTTTGTTGTCATTCTGGGACCTACTGATTCTTGTGGCAGGAATCCCAGGTATCCCCATCCAGATGTGGCTGCTGTACCCATTAAGTTAATGACAGTGTAACAGCGATAGCATCTGTCAGCGGCAGTCCGCATGCAATTATACATGGTACTAGACATAGTGCATTGGGATTCGGATGCAAATCAATGAAATTTCGTTAATTCGGCCGAATATGAAGTAAGGAATTATTACATGCCCGAATATACAAAAAACTATATTCGGGCATATATTCATTCTTTTACAGAACAGACAGTGGCCATATTGGCCACCGGCACGTCCTGCGCATGCGCGTCACCATCTTGGAAGTGGAGCACCTGACGCCACATGATGTGCACCAAGACGGCGGCACCCATAAATGCTTATGACATCACCCAACACCATGTGACGTCATGCGCTCTGCCTCTAAGATGGCAGCGTGCATACGCAGAATGTGCTGGTGGCCAATATGGCCACCATGTGTTCTATTTAAATGTGCAATTTCAGATTCAAAGGTTCATTGCCCCTGAATCCGAAACAGCATAATTATTTATTTCATCAAATGAAAATGTTTTTAATTTTCATCCAATTTTTATGCTGTGTACATGTCTACATGGTACAATTTCCTGTGGTTCGGGCTAGAATTGTTGCCGGACACAGGATAGATGCATCCAGGCACAATCTATCTCAAACTGCAAAAATCCATAGGTTCTTGCCGCACGAATCACAGAACCCAGCATGTGAAAACAGCATTACAGTCCAATCACAAGCTGGAATTATATAAGTTAACACATTTTACAGCCTTGCTATACAATCTGGCAGGGCTGTATAAATCCTAGGATTGTATGGACAGAAATACAAATCCCATAGTAAGCAAGAAATCTCCAATATATGTTTTTCACCTCTGTATTTAGTTGTTTGCCTCAAGATCATCTTTAAATTATTGTATTGCTACTACTAAATAGTTTCTTACCGCAGTCATCTCAGACTCACCTTTCCATACCACAGGTAGTGCTCACTCTGTGTTTTCAGCAGGAAAACATCATTGGAGTTAAGAGAAGATGCATATGCAGGAACTTCTACAGCTTTGGTATTGGAAGCTTCTGAGCCGTGAATCTGAAACAGTCTGACAGGTGGCTCAGGATCTTCATTTCCCTTGCGGGATGTACCCCCCTACACAGAAAAGGATACAATACAAGGATTCAGAAAACCAGTAGATAAAAGCTCTATGTCCAAATTCATTTATTAAAGTTTAAACCCAGGATTTACCTACATGTACCTCCAAACCTCCCTGTTCCCCTTTGGAGCATGTCCCAGTATTATCTTTTTCTTTTACTTTTACCTTGTTCCTGCAGCTTTTATTACTCCCTGGGGTATCATTACCATGCATGTTATATGCTTGCAGGGGCAACTGCTGGAGTTCAGCTCCTACTGACTTCACACCTAGGCATTTTGCTGTGTGTATTTGTCTGCACTGAAGCGCTCAAGACAAGAAATCCCATTTATTTCTAAAGCCCCCGTCCACACCTGAGCGTAGTGTCGCGCATAGAAAAACGCCTGTTGCTGGAAAAACCTACATGAACTTTTTTTTTTTGCTAGATCAGTGCCATTTGTCAACAAAGACAACAAGTGCAACACGATTATTTTGTGCACGTTTCACATTTACATTGATATGTCACAAAACACGCAACTTAATATACGAGTGTAAAACTTGTGCAAAATCGCGCAATGAAAAGGAGCACAAGTACGCTCAAAAACACTGTTGCCTAGGTGTGAATGTGGCCTTAGACATGCCTCTAGAACTACATCTCCAAGAGCCATTTCCCTTCACACAGAGTGTGGGAATGCTCTTGGAAGTCAAGGCAGCAGCAGTGTTTTGTAAAGAAATAAAACAATGCTCAGCTTTTATAAGTTACATTTCAGAAAACCCCAAATTGCCAAAAATCATGAATTTAGGGGACTGATTTGGCAAGCACTGGCCAAAGGCTTGTATTTGAGTTTGCCACATGTATGAAGAAGGCACTGATTTGCTAGAGCAGCTATCAGTTAACAGTATGGTGAGATTCCAAGAGGGAGGGGGTGACTTCCATTTCTGTTCCCCTCTTTTGGCAGAAGGGGTTCTCTACTTTCTGAACTTAGAAGAAACATTTTTATAGATACTGCATACCTAAAAAACAATACTGGTATTCTACCTATGAAGGGGAAAGAACAACATTTAACCCATGACAGGACTCTTCCCTAAGGTTTGTTTTTGTTTTTTAAACCAAAAAAAAGGTTTTGGCAATACATATATTGTACTTTAAAGCAGTGGTTCTCAACCTGTGTAACCTCAGGACCCTCATTTGTCCTCCATCATTAATTCACGACCCAAGTCGCACTGCAATTGAATGCATGGCAGTGTGGGCTGCTGTGTTGTGATGGAGCTCCATCCATACATGCATTGCTTGTACAGCTCCCATGCGCACCCTGTAGAGGTGGCGGGAGCCAGAATGTGATGTCTTTCCAGTCCAGGCACCTCTACAGGACATGCGAGGGAGCTATAAGCAATGCATGTATGGATGGAGCTCCCTCGCGGCATATCCCCAGCCCACCCCACCTCAAGTCATATTTTGAATGGCTGCTCTGTTTAAGAATGAACAGTGCTGTGCTGGGGGGAGGCAGGGTAGCCTCTCACCTAGAAAAGTGGAAGGCATGCAGTGACCCACTGAACACGGAGTCGCGACCCGCCAGTTGAGAACCAAGGCTTTAAAGGATACATTCATTAAAAAAAACAAGACTGCTTCCGTAGCCCTCTGATCATGCACAGACTACACCCCCCTCTCCCCCAGAAGTGATTAATTACCTCCTCTGGCAGTGGCCTCTACAGCTTGGCCATTCGAAATTTAGTGCCAGGCTGCCCGCGTCTGTGAACTAATGTCTCATAGATTTGAATGGGACGTACCCATACTTCAAAAGCAATATCCTATTCAAGTCTATAGAAAGACGGGCATCCTGACACCAGATTTATACCGACCGGGCTGCACCCAATGCGGGAGGCCACCGTCAAATAGGACTTGTTGGGGGATGGCTGGGCTGAGTATGTTTAAAGTAGTATTAAACTCTCAAACTTTTTTCCAATAGTGAATCCAGATCAAACAATTAAACATTGCCCAGCAAAGCATTACTTTACATTTTTGTCCAAATACTACAATCATCATGTTTCTGAACAGCTGCTTCCAAGTCTCTTAGCTCAGCTTCCCTGAACTTCCTGTCCAGTGCAAGATCACAAAAGACTTTGGCAACTGTTCATCTACTAGCTTGGAGAAGGGGCCAGGGGGGAGGGGAGTAGCTTGATTTACTGTTTCTGTATGTTTGTGGAGAAACACACAGCTTACTAGCACACACATGGGTGGCTGCATAGCACACTGAGAAAGGAGTCACTCTAAAACAGGAAGTCAGGACCAGTGCTCATTGGACCAGCTGATTCTGCAAGGAAACTAAAACTTTTAAACATCAAGATGCAGCATCCATTGTAAGTGATTTAATCAGCATTTGAAATAGCTTAAAAACCTTTTGACTTTAATATTACTTTAAGGTTGTTGTAAGGGCAGCTGGGAGATTACAAAAAAAAGATGAACTTTTCCTTCAAAGGATAAAAAACATTAAACTGCACAGGGGAACATCTATCAATTCTGCATGGCAGTGCCACATAGGGGCAGAGAGGCAGATATAAGCCAGATTAATAATGATAAGGCAGCTTCAGCTATATGTTCATAACAACAGAATAAAACCTACCCTGACTACTTCATAATTGTGCGTCTGTGTAAAGTGGACATCTGTCTCATCCCCAGAGATAAATATGTCACAGACCTGTTACAATTGGTGGCCCAGGATAACATTTGCAGGGGTTGCAAATACCCCTATGCTGACCGGCAGCCTTATTTGCATTTAAATGCTTTTGTTAATAAAGGGTACACTATAAAACTAAACATACACTCATTTTAGTATAAATTTTACCTCAAAAATAACCATTTTTCCTTTAAAAATGGCCATGAAGTGTCGAGGTTCCTTTCCCATGCATACTCGCACCTGTACCGGCTCTCCCTTATACTTTTGATCAAGCTGAACAGCCAGGAAGGCCGAAGCCGCTAGTTCATCTTGTGATGTATGGCGTCCCTGCCAGTTAGAGAGCAGCATTAGCAATAGGGGAGAAAAAAATATCATTGTGAGCTTACCCAAACTCAATCATTTCAACTAAAGAGAAATATTCCATTCCAATATTGTGTTTTTTTTTTGTTTTTTTTAAGCCCGCGGAGGGCATGTAAAAAGTGAACACCATAGTGAAAAAAAAAGTGCATGTCAACACACACACAAAAAGTGCACTTGGGTGTGTCAAATGGTCCATCTTCCGAAGAGAAAGGGCCCTTTTCCTGACCCCGTGGGGCGCAAGGCTCCTGACACGGGCAGAACACGTGTCCACCTGTATTTCAATACTCCATGGATTGCTAGACAACTGTTATGTAGTTTAAATTTATATAGAACTCAGGTGATGAACAGTCCAGTCCAGAAGGGACTTACAGAGAGCCAGGACCATGTACTTCCACTGATGGCAATAGAAAAGGCTCAGAATTAAAAGACTATGAGGGTAAATTATCAAAGCAATTGCGACAGTTTTAGCCTCTAAGATCATTTTTTTTTTATGTGCAAATCTGTCTTTTAACATTTTGACTAGAGCTTGCACTACTTTTCCATCTGCACATGTTTTGCACCTGTTTTGACCTGAGCTTACACTACTTTTCCATCTGCACGTGTTTTGCACCTGTTTTGCCCTGAGCTTACACTACTTTTCCATCTGCATGTGTTTTGACCTGAGCTTACACTACTTTTCCATCTGCACATGTTTTGCACCTGTTTTGACTAGAGCTTGCACTACTTTTCCACCTGCACATGTTTTGCACCTGTTTTGACTAGAGCTTGCACTACTTTTTCAATTGCATGTTTTTTGCACCTGTTTTCATCTGCACTTGTTCTGGGCTGCCTGAAACTGGAGCATCACCTAAGAAAACAATCGCTACTTAAGACCATGACCATGACCACTTCTTCAAGGAGTAGCAGTAAAACCTTTTGCCTGGAGTTACGAATCTTCTTAACTGGAGTCTATTAAATCTCATTTATCAACAACATTACACTAGCATCATAAATCTGGCGCAAAGTGCATCAATAATTTTCCGTGGAAGTTCAAACACTCGCAATTGCTATGATAAAATTCCCCCCTATATTTTTTATAGTTCTCGAGTTTGTAACTCAGCTTCTATGTTTAGTGATAAGGGCCAGTGATTGAAGCAAATAAAGCATGCAATTGGCTAGAACAGGAGTATGCTAGCAATGCTTCCATTTGTTATAAGAATCTTTGCAAATGTTAGAGTGTAGTATTTTTGGTATCTAAAAATTGTTGCTTGACATTGGTTCAATAGTTGATTGGGTGTAAATATTCCACACAACCCATAAAGTCTCTCTGACTACAAAAATACTTGATCTAATCTTACATGACATGACCAGCTCTGGATGTTTTTGCCAGAGGTTAGCAAAAAGAACCTCAGGCAGTCAGAAGGCACTTATCATACATGGAAAGGCAACACAGTCCCTTGCCCTGCTATTAGTAATGGATCAAAATGGATCAACGACTTCACAGACATTGCTATCACCATAAGGTAAAGACTGATTCAGGTCCCAGCACTGTGTAAACCATTGAAGGTTAGCAAATAACTATATGCCTTTGGCCACAAATAGGAGATATATGATCAATCATATCAAGGTTTCAAATAAGGAAATCTGCTTTGATCTCATTTTACCAACTGTAGTGTAACTAATGACATCCTACCACTGGAATACTTTACCATGTTCCCCTCTTCTAATGATTTCTGCTTTTAAAAAGAAATCCATTTGTGTCAAATAGTTTACAGACAGTATATGTACGTGCTCAGTGTAGCTGAATTCATGTCTGATAATATTATTAGCTGCTTCTGCTTACCTGCCATATGTAGAGAACATAGTATGGTTTCTTGTTCACTTGATATGTGTAGAGCACCAGATAACAGTCACCACCAAAGAAAAAGCCATACCACTGAGCCTCCACTGGAACCAGCTCTAAGTTCTCAATTCTCCACACCTAGGAAAATATCGTTGTTAGTATACTGTGAAAATTCCTACCACCATAGTGATCAGCTTCCATATTAAATGTATTATCTATATGACCCAATAATTTTATTGTAAACCTACTAATGTAATTGATTGCCTTATGGATAAAGTGAGTAAACACATTCCTTGTATGTGCGATCTTTCTAAATTGAAATGTTATTTGTTGCTCAGCAATGCTGATTGTAGGGCGTTTTAATAATTCTACTGCTGACTTCAACCAAATGTCTTTACCACAAAACCAAACCTGGCGGATTTCTGTAGCTATATATTGCAGAAATAGTATAACACTTATGGTAGACAGATATGGAATCCTGAATATAGGAGATAGATGAGGATCATATGGAGATTTTCATGATAAAATCAGCCCTCTTACCTCCACAGTTCCACTTCCATCATCCACCATACGCTCCTGAGCAGCCATTGCTGGCTTTGCATGGAGTAGGGAAGCATCAAACTTCTCTTGGCTGACCTTGGCTGAAATACACATGGATGCATGTTTTAACAGTAATTTCACATAAAACTGATATGTTAGATATGTTATATCTTGGCCAAACCAGCGACAGTATCTTAACTAGGACTCACTTATGAGTCAATATCATGCCTAGGAGTCTAACTTGTCCCTGTTGCATACCCATAGAATAAAGTATATGTAAAACTTAGTATGGAGAATAAGACTCTTAGTGCCTACAGCAAGCAGATGTACAAGGGAGAAATATTTTGCAACATTTAGGCACTACAAAAAAATTATTAAAAACTATTAGTTATTACTGATGTGTGGATCCAGGAATCAGGTATTAGAAAAAAAAAAGTTGTATTTTATGTTCTATTCTTAGTTCTATAATGGCATTGTAGTATTTTCAGGTGGAATACAGCTTCATAACATATCAGCTAGGGAACTACAAGTCCCAGCATGCCCTCATTGCCCTTGTACAACAACCAGATATTGCCGTTCCCTGGGTGATATGTGTGTGTGTGTGGGGGGTGTACAGGGACAATGATGGCATGCTTGGACTTGTAGTTCCTTAGCTGATATATATGTGTGGGGTACAGTTCTAGTGGATGTTTAAATAATATGGGGGGGGGCGAAAAAGAATGTTCTGCCCCGGGCGCCCATAACGCTGGTTACGCCACTGTTACTGATGCCCTGAACTGCCAAATTAATTTGTTTTCCATGTCTTGCTCACATAAGTGAGTTGTGTGTTGTGGAGTAATGCCTTTAACACACCAAAATGTATGTTATTAATGCAATAATGGCATTCTGAGAAGCAGGACTATTGAATCTATGTTGTACTTTCTGAAAAGGAAACATGGAGGTAAAAGCTGACCTCATTATGCAAATGCTAGTTACTTGGCTGTTAAGGTGACCCCTTAGCTTCAACAGCTTTTGAGTCACTGACGTACTATATGCAGATCAAGAAAGTCAGAAAGTCTTGATCTACATACTTGTTCTAAGTTAGCCACTTACAGTACTAAAACAAGAGGGTCAACATGACAGACAGATTTTCTAAATGAGAAATCAGCTTTAGCAACCTCCATGTTTGTTGAAGGAAAGCTTCATTCACGCAGGCAATAAAACCCAATGTTTGCTGCTTGTTAGTAATGCGTTCCAAATGCTTTGCAAAGAAAATGATTGTTCTTTACATGAATAACAAATGGTCTAGTACGCAAAGCATGCTTGCACCACTTTGTGTCACTTAGCGTTAATTTTGAGCTTGCCTGCAATGTTTGGCAGGTCTTACAACTTGCAAGGCTTGTGAAATACTTCCATTCAAGTAAATATAAAACTGCTGCCAACACATTTTAAATGCTCCTAAGGCATTTATCATGCAGCACTATGGCAAGGCTCTTTTCCTTGTTTTCCTCCCTGCCACCAAAAGAATAGAGGCATTTGGAGAGCTTCGGAATCACACTATGCAGCCTCTGATGCCCCCCACCAGCGAGATCTTTGCTGTCCTGTCTGCTTCACACCACACAGCCTCTTCCTAAAAATGACTCACTGTCTGGTCAAGTTGTCCTGTACATACACACTGCAGTCTCCATCATTCCAATGGAGAGTTTATATTCATCTTGTCTTGATATGCACTGGATCTGTGTCAGGGGTGCTGAGGGAGAGCACCCAAGATCATTAAATGTAAATCTATGAAACATACATTTTAGGCATAGATGTGCAGCTTAGGGTTTGAGATCCAAAGCATGATCCCAGAATTAATTTTGGCAAGCACCGTGTTTTTAGTTAAGATATACCACTGGAAGCCAGTAAATTGTATTTTCAGCTTTACAGTAAACGGCTAATTGAAGTCCCAGAAAGAAATGGCACACTGACACTTGACATTCTAAAATGAAGATGTTTGTCCCTAGAAATTTATCGTATTCATTTTCAGCTTTGTGTGATGGTGAAATAATAGGCAATAAAATGATAGCTGTCTGCTAAAGGCGACATTTTTCTTTTGCTCAGGTTTTTATAATAGTACATTTGCTGTGAACTCTACTTACCAATCTTACTGGTACTGAAAGTCTTCCCTAAACCTACTGACTGATCTTTCACTGTCCACTTCTGGAAGAGCTGTTTAAATATGGCAGATTCAGCTCCATCATTAACCATCTCTACGTTGGTACTGGGCGGATATGATTTCATTTTAATGAATTCCTGTTCAGATCAATAAAGGAAAAAATACCACTGTGGTCATCTCAGATATGCAATTACTAGTGCTCTATTTCCAGTAATAGATGGTCCAGCAAAAGTGTCCATGGTAAACATTTAGAAGCATGCTGTGTTTTAGAATTAATGCTAATGGATCATTCAGATGCATCAGATTCATCACTTATTTTCTGGAATTAAGATAGGCAGAGTCTAGAGGAGAAAAGAATGGGCTATGTACTGCCGTGTACAATCTCTTAAAGTGACCAGTGGCAACCCCCAGCCAAGCTTATGCTTGATCAGTGTCCGTAATAAACGGAAGCATAAACGAAATACAAGTTAATCCAAATGAGCACTAACTGACCTCAACAGGGTCATTAGAACTAGTGAGCATTATAATTTATCATTTCATCTGTTTATTATCTTGATCAAGGTATGATCAACGGAGTCAGTAATCAACAGAGAATGTGGTTCAGCATGGACACATCTTTTGCTTCAAATGTGACAATATACCTAAATATGGCATGCGAACTTTACTTCAATTAAATTTGGGTGGGTATTTAGGAAGTTTAACAAGCTTCACATCGTCAAGTATTTAATATCATGGTCTCTCTAGGAAGACTTGCCCACCATTTATGGTGAATAATAACCACATATCAACCACCTAATTTAACATCTCAATATATCTTAGTATCATGAGGAATATGGATATATTTTATATAGTTACCAAAGCTTTGGACATTGCAGTCTGCCTCTCAGTCTTTGTCGCTCCTTTTCCCTTCCAGACATATATTTTGTTTCCTCCTTGATCTAAAATGTAACAGTCCTAGAGGGACAATTGAGACTTCAATGTGGAGAAGTAATAAATAAGACTCTAGTTTATCATACAACTATTATTCTTGTATTCTGGATAAATCATACTGTAAGTCTTTCACAGGTCTAGACTCACCTGGTGATTTAACATGTCTTGAACTAATGGTCGTGCTGCTATATCTGTCACCTCCATTTGTCCACCAGCATCTGAAACCCTGACACAAAAGTGCAATTTTATTATAGACTTCCTCAATATTTTTTGACTATATTTTAGGTAAAAACGATATCCTGTGAAGAAAAAAAAAAGCCTAACTCTGCAGAATATACAAAGATAATAACATGGCAGTTAATGAAAGTGACAAAACTATAGAAACTCCTAATTTAAAAAGAAGCCTTTTTTTTGCCTTCACTTCTCTTTGGGGATACACTAGTAAATGTACCCCTGTGACCTGAAGTCAGCAGATAACGAGCTAATGCATGGCTATGGGTTCCCTAGGGAGTGGTGACTGTTCTCTCAGGGAGAAGAGACCACAAGCTGATGATCAGGTCTTAGTATAAAGCTGGCGTGTGACAGCTACGGTGTCCCATGCCGGCTCTAGGCTGCAGGGAGAGTATATTTTACGCTCCCTGCATTTCTTTAAATAAATATCAGTTCTGGATTTGCTGATACAGTATATTACATTTTAAGAATAATTAAGAGTTACTCCTCATTAAGCCCTAAATAGAGGATTGAAGGATCTCCGTATGAAATCATATGTGATATGATTACATGTGGTTTGGAATAGATCACTGTCCCTGGATACAGGATAGATGCATACGTCTATTCCAAACAGCATGTAATCATATCACATATGATTTCATACGGAATGCCATGATTGACGCTGGATTACATCGATGGAGCCATTTTTTTATTTTTTTTAATAAGGAATAATTGGGGGATTGGGTTCCCCCTTAAAATTCCTACCAGACCTAAAGGACCTGGTATGGCTTTTTGGGGGAACCCCACGCACTATTTAAAATTATTTTTAACTTGGGGGGGTCCCTCCTAACATTCCTACTGGACGTAAAGAGTTTAGTATAAATCGGGAGGGGAACCTCACGCTATTTTTTTTCTTCTGCGGACAGTAAAAAAAAAAATTCATTTTTTTCCTTTTGTCTAATGTCACTTTGCTGCAACTAAAATTAGCCCGGATCGAAAATTCATACATACTACCGCTAACAAATTTCGTCCAAAATTTTGGTTATCGGAAATTCGGATTCGTTTGCATTCGTCATTTCTGTCATTCGGAGATTCGGGTATAACCACAAGTCCGAATAACTAATCTTTCCAAAACGAATCGCACATGTCTATTGCTCACAGTGTTCCAAAGTACACTATTTCCATGACATGCAAATGATGTACAATTATTACAGTAAAACATAACAATATCCTTTGCTTGCTTTTTTTCTAGGAACACAACTATACATGAAATGCTACTTACTGGTATAGCATGATGTTAGCTTTCTGTGTCTGATCTGCAACTTCATCAGCAGTCCCTGGTTTAATGTTTTGGGTCCTGTCTCCAAGTGTGTTGATAAGAAGTTTCAATAACTCAGACGATGCTTGCTCATTATCTCCTTCAATCACCGCAATCTCCATTCGGCCTCCTCTTTCCCTATCACGTATGTCCTTAGCCAACAGCATCCCCTAGTAAACAGAAAACAAAACTGATTACGCTTGGACTCATTGAACTTTTGACTAAAAACAGTGTGTAAAAGACAATGCTTGTGGAAGCAGCTACCTTCATCCTCTCTGCCTTATTGCTCTCAGGTCCATTCCATTGAACCACCACTCTCCCCAGATCCAGTAAAAACACATCACCAAGGTTAAAACTGCTCCAGCTCAACTCCACCTGTAAATAATATAGACTGTCATGTGATAAAGAAAAGAACAAATACATTATCATATAATATATAATACAATTAATTCAGTAATGTCTTTTTAAAAGGCATGTGCTGCTGATTGTCTTGCATATGGCACATTTCAGCAAATATATATAATTTCATATGGACCTAAGTATTAAGTAGGTTGAATCAATTGCAGGTAACTATACAGAAACCTTGCTTTTTGTAGGTAAACATCTGCAGTTTTATTTAATATACCCACAGATATGTCTTCTGGTATTGCAAAGGCCATATTCAATAAAGAGGCCTTATTCCTTAGTGCAGTAACCCACATCAAGTAGTTAGAATCCATCTTGTGCTGTTCTGACTGAAGAAGAGTGAATTCTGGTTGGTTTGCTATGGGTTACTGCACTTAGGAATAAGAACTCTTTATTGAAATATAAAACAAAAAGGCTGAGGAACGCAACTACCTAGGTGCGTGCTACTAAACTTGGTAGGCTAACAATAAACACTCATATAGGTGGTGACTTACTTTCCAGTTGGAGTGTCAGCAGGTATATCTGAAGTGGATTGGCATCCAGAGTCTTTCTGTTCAAATGACGAAAGGTGAGGGACTGACGGCTCCTGAACCGTGGATGCGGTAAGAGGTTGCAGGCACACGTACTCAGCTGGCCAGGCCGAGCCGCGGCAGCTGTAGAGGGAAGGAGTGGATGACTAACGGCTGAGGAACTCAGCTCACCGTGTGTCTCCACGCCGTGCTCAGGACAACTGTCAGGGGTGCACAGAATATTGTGTGCCGACATTGCCCGCTGTGTCACTGTACCATTGCCTGCTGTGTCGCTGTACCACGGTTCAGGAGCCGTCAGTCCCTCACCTTTCGTCATTTGAACAGAAAGACTCTGGATGCCAATCCACTTCAGATATACCTGCTGACACTCCAACTGGAAAGTAAGTCACCACCTATATGAGTGTTTATTGTTAGCCTACCAAGTTTAGTAGCACGCACCTAGGTAGTTGCGCTCCTCAGCCTTTTTGTTTTCTATTACAATAAATAGTTCTTATTCCTAAGTGCAGTAACCCATAGCAAACCAACCAGAATTCACTCTTCTTCAGTCAGAACAGCACAAGATGGATTCTAATTACTTGATGTGGGTTACTGCACTTAGGAATAAGACCTCTTTATGGGGTGTGATGGACACTACGTGTGATTGACACTACGAAGATTATCCAGAAGACCATCAAGGGACCCCACTACAGTAGGTCTGAGCTCCGGAAAAGTATTGACAGTGAAGATCCGAAGTGGGCAAAAGAGGAAAGTGGAAAACAAGGGATAAGAGAAAACAGGAAAAAGAAAAGAACAGATGAAATAGAAAAAGAGGAGGGAAATCCACCCCACCACCAAAGCCTAATAAGAAAATGACTAAATTAATTAGAGCTCAAGTCTCAAAGTTCATAGTCACAAAATACCATCCTAGAGTGGCCACTATTTTAAAACACACTGGTGCAAGACAAAGCCAAGACGAGCAGCTAATGGACTTCCTGCAGGCAGTTGTAGGTGCTGAGGATTACCTCCTTAGCTGTGACATTCTTTTTGCCCTTCACATGAAGCAGCCTCTTCACATCATATGTGTTAATATCCACATGCTTCATGCCAGACGCCACACCTCCTTTCTTGTAACTGAAAAAAGTAAAGAACAACTCTAGATCCACAACTCTACTAACAATGATCAGATCTTTAAGGAGTTCATATATAAAAGTTCAGCATAGAGCCAGGTGGATGCCCTTTGCAAAGCACTAGAACCCCTAGATGGGACTGATAAGTATAGGGAATTAACCCCTTAGAATTACATTGTACTGAATTTTATAACAAAAATCTGCATAGTGAAAATAATAAGATGTTACTGCACTATTCTAACCACACCAACATTATTAAATCACTGAAAACCATAAATGTGTGAATTGTAGTATTATACTATCCTTTCTTTATTGTGTACACTAGCAGCTATTATATGAAATGATGTACCACTCTATGGCTGAGATCTTGTGTATAGCTGAGACTATGAGGTCTCTTCCACAAACTTATCGTGATTTGTGTTTGCACATTTGCAAACGCATCATCTCAATCCATGCCACAGATACAGTTGTTGATGTGCTCACATCTATATGTGCATACTATCTGCATATTTCTCAAGCATAAACACATGGCATGGATGTATAACGCATGCCAATGTGCACTGGAAGACATATATATGCATTCAGGTACATGTTAAGACTGGACCCACATCACATGTACACAGCAATCCATAGCATCTATAAGCAGTTGTGGCACCATTCAAGCCAATGCATTTTGCAAAAACACAGCACAATGCATATGTGTAAAGTGTTTTTAGTTCACCCAAAATGTATGTATATACAGTATACACAGTATATATACTGTATAAATATA